CCAGTGCTCGGCAGCCTCGCCTCTGTCAGTGCGCCCCAGGGCACCTGTGGCTACATTGTAGCTCATCCCCACCAGTGTGTGAATGGGTGAATGACTGGTTGTGTTGTAAAGCGCCTTGGGGGGTTTCAAGAACTCTAGAAGGCACTATATCAAATACAGGCCATTTACCATTTATTGCTGTTGTAACATAATGTGATGGACAGAAGACGGAAGCTGCCAGGCTCTGAGGGTGTGGTGATTGGACACCGGCTGGTCCTCATTATGGATAACGAGGACAGGTCTACCGAGAGGTGTGCGTGGTCGACCGGTCATTGTGTCATCGGACTTTGGGGGGTGGGGTCGTTCGCAGTCGGTTAGGGCTGCCGGCGACGAAGACAGTTAAGCAGGCGTACAGCGTTCCAGTGTTAGGAGGGAAGGCTTGTCGCCTTCTTTAGGCAGCGAGGGCTGGGCATAGTGGATGCCAAGACCATGCCGATATCTGCCGCCACGGACTCTGGCAGTAAGACTTACGCTGTGGATATACCCGCCGTCCTCGCAAGCTGCATCCCGAGGCGTTGGACGGCGCTGGAAGCTCAGACCCCGGGGAGGGGGGGTCACAACATCTGAGACAGCTAAGTACCGCTGCTTGTGTTACTCAAGCTGGACAGCTGGTTTTATGATTAGGGACTCTGGCCATAGTGTTTTATTAGTGTGTCTTATTATTAGGGCTGCAACAACGAATCGATAAATTCGATGAAAATCGATTACTAAAAGCGTTGGCAACGAATTGCGTCATCGATTCGTTGTGTCGCACAACTCTTCCAAAAGTGCCCCCCCTTCCCGCCCGCCGTTGCGCGCAGACCAGAGCAAGTCAGATCAGCGCGAGGGAGAGCCGCATATCAGAGCGAGGGAGAGCCGCAGATCAGCGCGAGGGAGAGCCGGCAGATCAGCGCGAGGGAGAGCCGCAGATCAGCGCGAGGGAGAGCCGGCAGATCAGCGCGAGGGAGAGCCGCAGATCAGCGCGAGGGAGAGCCGCAGATCAGCGCGAGGGAGAGCCGGCAGACTTGAGCTGCTGCGAACCGGTTCCGCATTGTTGCACAGCGATCCAGGCAGCTGCTTCCAGCGCACGGTCCATTCTCAAAGTGGCGCAACCAAAAAACTATAATTAGCACACGATCGTTCATGTCCGCACATGCTCTCTATTTTCTGTCTTATTTGTGCCTGAAGCGCGCTACTGCGGAGCTCATCACCTGTGCTGTGGTGATGTCACCTCACGCAGCATCGAAAACGCGCTCTGCGCTTTTCGGTCAGGAGATCCCTTTGACCTGCTCAAAAGTAACTGATGAGGTGAAAAGGTAAGAATCCAGGCAACAGATTTTCTGGAGAATTAAGAGGAGATGCAGGAAGATGAGAGACAGACAGGACAGGAAAATAGTTCAATAAAAACAAGAAAACAAAACAAAGTGTTGAAAAGTAAAATGTAGGTAGATTTATCTCCACTACACGTTTTTACCAGTAAAAAACAATAAGTTATACACATGTCATATTTATACATCTGATACAATTCAGATCACCTTCAAAACTCAGTCACACACCCAGGGCCGTTTCAAGACATTTTGGGGGCCAAGGCAAAATGCCCCCCCCAATAACTGGGCTCCCCAGAAGCCTCTGTGTAATTCATGCCCTCTCCAGTAGTGTTAGTTATATGGTGTTTATAAAAGCCCCTCAGACATTACTGACATGCTCTAATATTATCAGATGAAAAACTAAATTATCAGACATGCTGTCTCATCTGCTTATTTTATAAACTTGCAAAAAGTAACAAAACCATTTGAAAGCCACTATTTGTGGATTCTCTGAAAGTTTCCATGTAGTTTGTGACAACTTATTTTTTCATTGATCCTATCGTCTAATCTCACAGTTGAAACAAGCATCCTTAATAATCTGTGCACAGGAAGCTTACCGATGCTGTAGTAAAACAAAAGGTATAATAATTTATTATTAATAAAACCTTGTTGCAGCACTAAAGCAGAAAAATTAGATTTTGCATTAAATATGCTAAATATTTATATATGAATTGTTTTAGAGCCCTTTAATTGGCAGAATCTGATATTAATTTAGTTCTTACAAAAAATGGGTCCCAACATGGTTTGTGTGGCGTTGCCATAGTGTGACGTCATAGGCACAGATCCCCTGTCCTCTTGTTTGGAAATGGAAATATGATCACCCTGTATTAAACAAACTGTCCACCCGGGCTTTTGCGCTGCACAGAGACGCTTCGCTGCCTACGACTGAACGTCAGTTGAGAGTCAGTCTCATGCAGACTGACCAATGAAGAGAGGGCCTCAAGTTAAGACCCTCTCCTCATTGGTCAGTCCACACGAGGTGGGTCAAAGGTTACTCTGGGCGGGTTACGTGTTGTCAGGCATTCAAGTATTGAGTATATTTACTGCATATTACAGTAAAATATTCTGTATGTGACCACATTATGGTGATCCTTGGGTCGTGATGATGGAGCCCTTGAATATTGTTGCCCAGGGTACAACAAAGTGTTAATCTGGCCCTGGTTCCGCCGTCACATTCCCGCAGAAACTGGTTGATCACACCGGGGCCAGACTACTAGCATGTGGTTTTACAACCACAATGTCCTCAGAAGCAAAAACGCTTTTAAAAGGGAGGGAGGAGTCCTAACTGTTGCTGCAGGCGTGTTGTGTGAGAGTGCAGTTATATACTGGTTAATATATTTTTGGGTTCATTTGCTTTCATGTGGCCTAATGTGAGTCTATTTGGGATCATTGGAATGATCAGCAGCATTTCTTGATGTGACTTTATGGCAGTTGCCCAGGGCATCATCGCAAGGAGGATGGCATTCATTTACTTTTGTTTTATTTGGTATTTTTTCAGTCATTTTTGGAAATAGTGATCAATTTTGATAAATTCACAGCCTATGTTTAATTACATTTAAAATAAATGTCAACAGATGAGATCAAACAAAACAGATGAGAATTGCCCTTAAGCTGTTTAACTTGGACCAAGCATTTTAGGTCACAGATAGATGTAGCTTAGGGTCTCTGTCTATACACCTTATAAGACAATTTAGGTGATGGCATGTTGTTTTTCTGCTATTGAACTGTTTTCTAATAATGTTGTGTTAAATAAAGTGAAGGAAGGAGAGAAATAACGTTTCCCTAGCAGTTTTTAAAAATTTCCCCATGTAATCCGATTAATCGATTAATCGTGTCGAGACCCCATCCGATTAATCGATTATCCAAATAATCGTTTGTTGCAGCCCTACTTATTATTGAGTATGTAATAAAGTGTATCGTTTTATAAGTCGTTGCCTACTGGTGGTGTTTTTGGGTTCTGTCTGGAGGGCAAGATATTCTGCCCGTGCGCCCACTGAAACTTACATTACAATAAGAACTGGAGATACAAAATTAAGCTATAGCTGTGAAAAGAAATAGAAGTTGAGTTTTAGTTATGTACAATAATTTCATTATTATTGTGCAGGCTAAGTTTTTATCCATGCCGATTAAGAACTGGATCGGATTCCTGGATTCTTTCCGGATGGAGATGGCGAGCCTTTGCCCAGAACCCAAAGACACTTCGATTGAAAACCCATCACTCTTCTCACCGAATGTGAACACCAAGTGGTAACAACTCAAACCACTGAACCAGAAAGAACTGAAACTGAAAGACGCTTTGACTTGACTAACGACTAAAAGGACAACTCAACTATTGAGTCCAAAATGAGACTGGGGTTTTATTTTGTTTATTTTTTGGGCCGGCTCAGAGTTGTTGATCTGAGTGTTGCATTGTTAAAACTGTATTCTCATTTCACATTTTTCTAACTAAATATTTTCTATTTTTGCTCATTTCCTGCCTCCTGCCGTTTCCTTTTGCACCCACCTTAGTTCCTATTGTAATCCTGCCGAGCCTAGCTGCTGGTCTATCTAAACATTCCTGATCTTAAGTTATCTAACTGCGTCCAGGGTTACGATAGCCACAGTTAAGTCAATACTGGATTGCCTAGATGAAGTTAGTGCATGGACGGCCTCTAGCTTTTTAAACTTTGATGAGGGCAAAACAGGTAATCGTTTTTAGTCAAATCCTCTAAACAGGAAGTTGACCTCTCTTCGCTGGCCCCTTTTTAAAAAAGAGCTTTTTCATCTTCACCGTTTATCCAGGATCAAGCCGCTAGTGTCACAAGCTCATCTGGAGACCGTAGTCCATGCTTTTATTACTTCTCGCCTAGACTACTGCACTTGATCGACTCCAGCTTGCACAAAACGCTGCTACTAGATTCCTGACCAGCACCAGAATGTGGGAACACGTCACACCTGTCTTAGCCAATCTGCACTGGCTTCCAGTATCTTTCAGAGTTCAGTTCAAGATACTTGTTTTTGTTTTCAAGTCTCTGCAGGGCTGTGCTCCAAGTAATTTAACCGAGTTACTCACCCGATATAAACCATCCTGTGCACTTAGGTCATCACAGCAAGACCTACTAGTTGTCCCAAGAGCAAAATGCTTAACCAGAGGAGGCAGGGCTTCTTCAGTTTTGACCCCCAAGCTGTGGAATGGTCTTCTGCTCGAGGTTCGACAAGCACCCTCACTGCCGGTTTTTATGAGTCGGATGAAGACTCACTTTTATACAGTGGCGTTCCCGCAGGTCATATTTTTAGATCATTTAGCAAAGTTTATTCCAGTTTTATTTAACTTATTTTATCTTGTTTTTTTATCATTTGTTGCTCTTACCTCCTGCTCTTTTCTGTTCTTATTTGTTTTATATCTATTTTTGTTGATCATTGTATGGGTCAGCGATGCTTTTAATGCACTTTGGTTTGCCTTCTGGCAGTTGGAAGGTGCTATATAAATAAAGTTGTTGATGATGATGAAGGACACGACAGCAGAATACCCGGGCGGGAGCTGGGATCGATTTCCATCCGTTCACTAGGCAACCCACCCTGTCTCCTGAGCTGCTGCTGTGCCTTCAAAACATACAAAACAAAAAATCTAACTACTAAATGAAATAAAACTTTATTTCAAGTCAATTTATTTTGAAAACACTTGAATGAGAAAAGGCATCATGGTCTCCCGATGGCGGGATATGAGGAACACATACTTCCTGTTAGGCTTAACTTTCATTGCAAAGTGAGACTCTGTCGACGAAGGGACGAAACGCTGACAGGCCTCAGTAATGTCATATGGAAACTGTGCAGGGATGGAAGGCAATCACTTCCTGTACAGTCATCAGTAACTCGGCTATACATTCAACATAATAAAACATCTATTGACGTATTAAATACAGTAGACTATCCCCTATACAATACAATCAGCTGCAAGCTTTGTGGAGGATCCCCACAACACCCCTTGTTTGTTTTCCTTATTGCACTCCATTTGGGGAGTGTTTTCAAGTTTTATTCCTTTCAGTGTGATTCAGAATTACTATTACAAACTAAAGAATCTAAGGAAAACAATTAAAGACATCCGATTAAAATCAACAATAATGAAGGTGATAAAAGACAAGAATGTTCAAATTTGAGGAGAATTGAAAGTAAACCAGTTTACAGCCACAAAGAAAGAAGTAGCTGTTCATTCATAATATTAATAATAAATGGCATAATCTATGCTGTACTTTTGTTTACGGACTCGTTATCTCTTTAATAATCTTTTTGTTCAGATAAAGTACGAATAAGAAATACGCCATCGGTGAATTTGTGCTAAAGGATTTGGCGATTATCTGCAGCAAGAGCACTTTTGGTTAAGTCTCAATTCAAAATATCTCTTTTCTGGCAAGCAGAAACACAACTAGTAACGAATTATTGGTGCTGACTGGATGTCACAATCTGGTTCAGAGGACCAAACAATGTTACCATAAAGTCCAAAAACCTATATATTTTCTATTTGTCTTGATTATTCTGCTTTTTCTTTGGCACCGTCCACTTTCTGCACTGGCTCCGGATCATCCAGCAGAGCTTGTTGTCGCTCCCTTTCCTTCACAAGCTGCACACCGCAGTAGGTCACGAGCAGCACCGACAGGGTGGACAGAGGGAAACCTAAACAAACAGAAGGAAGAGGGAAACAGGGATCAGTTTCAGGCCTGATAGTCAATTTTTCATCTCAAATTTTCTAACTTAGCTCATCTCATGATGATAAATGATAAACTTTGGTCATATTTTGAAAATGACATTATGTGTCATCTGTTAACATTCAAGTGTGAGAATGAGTCTCAGTTGCTTTCGTGTCAGAAAAAAACGACGGCTAAAAAGTTACTACGTGTATGTTAAAGGTGTGTTTCACTCGTTTAATCAATACATTTACAGTGGTCTCTAGTAGGAATGAATGCCTTGTAAGTCGTACTCCGGGGAAAAGCGCCAGTGCTCCAGTTTCAGGAAGTAGAAATGAGCCACATCAGCTGAGCTTCAGACCAATGGCGGTTTTAAACAGGGGCCCACAGGGGCCTGGGCCCCTGTAGAACCGGCCCTGGCCCCTGTTATGGCCCCTGTGCTGAAGAGATCGGATTTTTTTTTCCCGCGCTGCCTCGGAGACGGGAACTAATGTGCTGCAGCGTTTCACACGGAGCCTTTAAAGCGCAGCACACTCTGTGGACAGAACTGCTTACGCGGTGGATTTTTGAATACAAGATTAAAAATAGTTTAAATGGGACCCGAAGAAGTTCTTGAGGACGTCAAACGGAAAAGACGCTGAGAGACGAAGGTAGGCAATACAGTTTATTTTCCTGACATCAATGTTTTGATCGTAGTCGCGCGTTTCTGTCATTTACTTTTAAGTTCCTAACTGAGTCTATCCACAGTTAATACTGATTTGTTTTTCCTTTGTAACATTAACTGTAAAATAAAAATGAAGTTGCTGCATTTTAAGCCTTAGACACATTGAGATTAGATCACAGTATTCATTTATCTATGACTCTCTCGCAGCACTGACTGGAAGCATCAGCGGCCATGAAAAGAAAAATGGGCATTTTGTCCTTTATTACAGCTGTTAATAAAGAACAGCATAGACAGAGAGAGGATGAAAGTCACGAGGGAGCTGAGAAGCAGGATGAAAGAGAGAAAGAGTTGGTTGGAGAGGAACCAGAGAGGTCAGAGGCTGTCCACCCTGAGAGTGAGGAGGAAGATGTAGGCTGTGAGGGAGAGAGTGAGGAGCAAAAGAGGAACATCTTCTGTCATGTGCACCGTGTACACTACCGTCAGGTTTGTGGGTGTTGAACAACCCCTCTGTGATTGCAGCTCATATTGTGTGTAAAATGCATTTGAGGCATGCTGACTCTGGACCAAAATGTCTGTTGTTTATATTTAATAAATAGATAAAATAAGACTCTGAATTAACTTATTATGACTTTTATCCTCATGCTAACATTTATTTTCTTTCAGATATCAGCAAGTGTAAGGATGACCCACCTACTCAGCCTCATTTGAGGACATTTCCAGTGACATTAATAGGAGACAGAAGACGCAGCTTTCAGCCAAGCTGGTATGAAAGTCATCCTTGGGTTGAATATTCTGTTACTATGGACTCTACTTATTGTCATGCATGCAGACATTTTAGCCCACCAAGTAGCGCAGGAAGTGTGTTTGACTCACCATGTGGATTTAGGAACTGGAAAAAAGCAACTGAGAGAGGAGGGGGGTTGTCAGTACATGCAAAGTCTGAAAGGCATAAGGATTCAATGATAGCGTGGAGGGACTACCAGAGGGCTGTGAAAGCTAATACAACATTGGCTAATATACTCAACAAGGAACACTGTAAAAGGTTAAAGAAAATCATGAGTATATCAAAACAATTGGTGAAGTGATTTTGCTTACGTGTGTGTGTGTGTGTGTGTGTGTGTGTGTGTGTGTGTGTGTGTGTGTGTGTGTGTTGACTACAAAAAGCAAATTGTATTGTGCAGATATTTTATTTGTTTGAATGTTTATTTTTCATATGTACAGTTCATATAATTTTCAAATAAATTCACAAACTATAATAATCAACTAGAATTATTTTTTTACTCAAGTCTCGTGTTGCAGTGAAGCATTCAGAATTGTTACCTGAGTACCATAAAAAGTTTTACCATAAAAAGTTTTACCAGTTTTACTTTCACAAGTAAACCATTACGGTATTCGCCGTAAGAGTTTACTTGTTCATTGTCTTTTATTATGATTTTTTTTTCTTGCGCCCCCATGAAAAAATACTGGCCCCACTGTGGCCCCCCTGGAAAATTTGGTCTAGAACCGCCCCTGCTTCAGACAGCAGGTTTTGGAGTCTTATTTCCTGATATTTAGACATCTCACCACTGATTAGCTAACAGCAACCCAACTCCATCTCTGACGTTGATTTTTATCTCCACAAATAGCACAAGCCTGGAGGAGTTCTGCTGTAGTGGAGTTCTTAAAGTGACAATGTGTAATTTTTACCATTAATCTCTGGAAATATCTATCAAAATGTTGTTGATAATGAATAAAATAATGCCCATTTGTTGAAAAATATACTTCACAACTTATATGGAGTCTTAAATACATGGGAGTGGGTCTAAGTCTCTGGGGGACGCCATGTTAGACGCAATATTTTCTTATACATGAGCATGTGAGGACAAAACGCATTCAATTATTTGTAGCAAGCAGTTACAAAATTTAGCCTTTCATAAATGTTGCTGTTTTACACATTTACCTCTTCACTTGTTGCCAGTGATGAAAAGGAGTCTGAAGTGCTTGTTATTTTGCTAGAGGTTGAATGGTCTGACAAAGTACTTGTTTGAAAATTGCACTTGCTTGCAATGATTTAGGTATGTACCGCTCCATATCACCAGGGAAAATACACACAGTCACTTTAATGCTAATGGTTAGCTTCTACTAGCCGAGGAGTTCTCTGCTGTTTCCCGGATGCTAAACCAGCCTTCCCTGTTGCAAGTCAAGATGGCTGAGTCCATGAATGTTACAGTAAGTGACAGTGTGACTTAGTAGCCTGGCCTGCCAGACTCGTCCTCTGTTTAATTCTGCAAAGAGAAAGAGTCTGGTAACTCACAGGCAGAGAGGCATATGAGGGGCGGGACTAGGCAGCTCAAAAATAACCAATCAGAAAAAAGATGGAAATGCCGACTGTACCACGCAACGCTGTAGTTTTTTTAGCTATAGTTAAAATAAAAAGGCGTCTGGCAACAGTGTAAACATCTTTTATTTTTATAGAAGAAAGGCTTTTAGCGCTTCTACTTGTTGTGGTTTCAAAGACATTCACGTCATTTAGAACAGAGGAAAGAGCCACAGAGAACTCTGCCGCTGTCTTCGTTGTTTATGAGAAACTGAGCGGCGCTGTAGTTTTTTAGCTGTAGTCAAAAATGGCGTCTGGCGACAGTGCAACCATCTTTCTCTAGAAGAATGACTTTTAGCGCTTCTACTTGTTGTAGTTTTAAAGATTTGTCCAAGTCATTTAGAACAGAGGAAAGAGCCGCAGCAAACTCCGCTTCAGTCGCCATGTTCGACAAACTCGGCGTCATGGTGTGTGACGTATGCTGCTCAGCGCTGATTGGCTCAGTTAGAATTCTCACGGGGTGGGGTTATTTGAATAGGAGAGTTCCCAGACCCTTTCTCTGTGCAGAATTAAACAGAGGAGGAGTCTGGCAGGCCAGGCTAATGACTTAGCAGGCTGCAGGCTTTTCAAATCAGCACTTTGGTTGGTTGTAATGCCATGTTGAAAGCGCTTTTATAAATAAAATGGTATGGTATGGTATGGTGTGGTATGGTATGGTGTAAACATGGTAAAATAAATGGCCTGTATTTGATATAGCGCCTTCTAGAGTCCTGGAACCCCCCAAGGCGCTATACAAGACAATCAGTCATTCACCCATTCACACACACATACAGACGCTGGTGGGGATGAGCTACGATGTAGCAACAGCTGCCTTGGGGTGCACTGACAGAGGCAAGGCTGCCGAGCACTGGCGCCACCGGTCCCTCCGACCACCACCAGCAGGCAAGGTGGGTTAAGTGTCTTGCCCAAGGACACAACGACAGCGACAGACTGAGCAGGGCTCAAACCTGCAACCTTCCGATTACGGGGCGAGCACTTAACTCCTGTGCCACCGTCGCCCCGATGGTGTGGTGTGGTATAGTGTGGTGTGGTATGGTAAATCATTGTCTAATTTCTATCAGAAGCTAATGCAGGAGATAGGTGTAGGAAACTATTTTCATGTTCAGCCTGCATTAAAAACTGACTGAGTGACTGATTACAGTATACTCAGAGATAAGATTTTTTTAATCGTTTTTCAGTAAACCACATCTTTAAAACCAGCAACTTCAAGTCTTCCCCAAGCATGCAGATGAAAAAATTGTGTTTTTGTTAACCATATAATGACTACAGTAAGTATTCATGAATTTGTTTTATTTATTTATTTATTTCATTTTTGTCTTGTCTGTTAATATGGAGAAAAATTTATACCATACCATACCACTTTATTTATATAGCGCTTTCAACACGGCATTACAACCATACAAAGTGCTGCACAAAAAACAAGCAAGAAAACACAAGTTAAAATAGTCAGGTAGATAGAAAATGTAAAAAGGAGCAAAGAAATAAAACAACAGACTATTAACAGTAAAAGCAAATAAAACCAGAATATAAAAACACAAAATTAAAATTGAATTGTCTAGGAGGGACAATGGATGAGCTAAGGAGTTATGGAATTAGGGATCGAATGCGTAAGTGAAGTAGAGGGTCTTCAGACGAGATTTAAAGACGCCGATAGAGGAAGCTTGCCTAACCTGCAGTGGTAATGAGTTCCATAACTTTAAGGCACAGACTGAAAAAGCCCTTTCCCCACGAGTCTTCAAACGTGCCTTAGGGACAGTTAAGAGGAGTTGATCTTCAGACCTAAGAGCTCGAGGAGGGTGGTAGTAATGAAGGAGATCACACAGATAGGGAGGAGCTTGACCGTTTAAGGATTTGAACGTGAGAAGTAAAATTTTATAATTGATCCTGAATTTAACGGGCAACCAGTGAAGCGTTTTAAGAATAGGTGAGATGTGGTGTCTTCTTTCTAAACAATAGCTAGCCACCAGGCATGCATCAATTTCCTTCAACTTCTGCTTATGTATGTCTAATTCTTTATATGTAGAAGGCCAAAATGCATTGAAATATTGTTGTAGTGTACTACGTGACTTTGTTGCAGTAATAATGGTATTTCAACCAATTTACGTCCATTTTTTATGGGGCGGCATTTTTCTCCATATCTATCTTATTCATAAAGCACCTCGGCTTAAAGGAGACATATAATGACTTTTTAGTAAGTAATTTTGTTGTTTGTTTTTTTTTAGTTAAAATAGTTTTATGGTAAACACGAAACATCTTTATGATGTTCTTTGCTCTCACATAAAATTATTTCAGCAGTTTAATTCTGGACATTTTCATATGAGCTGTTTCAAGGCTCTGTCACTTTTAGAATACAAGCTGTCGCTGGTCACGCCCACTCCTTCCCCACTCAGGCTGCTATAAGCTGAGAAGCTCTGATATCCAGGATCAGAACAAAGCAGCTGCTCCTCCAGAAGCAGTTGCTCTCCAGGTGAAAGGTGATTCAATGCTAATTTGTAATTTGTGACATCACAAACTGAGACTTTATGAAACTGCTTATTTTAGGCACATAATTCCTAAACCAAACACTGATGGCAAAAGTATGGATGGATTTTGTCATATTTGGAGTGTTCTTAGAGGTGGTAGAGACCCACATGGTAGCAAAACAAGAAAACACAAACACTGATGCTTCAGTGTTGGACAGTTATAGGCCCATCTCCACCCTCCCCTTCACCTCTAAAATTTTGGAGAAGACTGTTTACCAGCAGCTGGTGTCTCACTTATCTGACTCTGATTTTTTTTTAGGTTTTCCAGTCTGGGTTTAAGCCTGGACACAGCACTGAACCGGCCCTGCTTAGGGTCTTGAATGACAATTATATATATTTGGATCAGGGTTTCTCTGTGGCACTTCTTTTATTGGACCTTATGGCAGCGTTTGACACAGTGGACTATGATACACTGCTTGATCACCTGGAACTATGTGTGGGAATCACTGGGTCTGGTCTTGAATGGTTTTGCTCATATCTATATGGTAGAAGGTTCTGTGTGTAATTGGGGGAAGCTCTCTCTTCCTGGGAGGCTCTGTGCTGGGGGGTTCAGCACTGCTTTTTACAATGAATTTGTTGCCGTTGGGATCCATCTTTCATAGACATGGTGTTAAGTTCCACGAACATGATGATGACTGTCAGATCTATTCTCCACTGTCTCTGGGGAACGGAGTATCTTTTTTGACCCTTGAGACCTGTGTAAGTTAATGAACGTAAAACAGAATTTATCATGTTTCACCCAAGTTGCAGATCAGATTTAGGTTCTACTGTCGATTTGTGCACCTTCTCAACCCTCCAGAAGCCGGTTGTCACTAGCATGGGGCTAAGACTTGACTCTGCTCTTAGCTTGGACTCTCATGTCAACTCAGTGGTTCGGTCATGCCTTTTTCAGTTATGTTGCTTTACTAAACTCAAGCCTATTCTTTCCAGAACTTACTTGGGAGTGTGCACTCCATACGTTTGTGATCTCTAGGCTTGACTATTGTCCCTATATGCTAGGTTGGGTCAGACTATTGTACATTGCCTGCAATTAGTTCAGAACAGTGCAGCTAGGTTTTTGACTGGAACTAGGAAAAGAGACCACATTTCTCCAGTGCTGGCCTCTCTTCACTGGCTACCAGTGTCCTACCGGGCACAGTTTAAAATTCTGCCTTTTGTGTTTCAGTTTTTCCAAGGCAGTGCCCCCACTTACTTAGCTGAGCTCTTAATAAAGCATGTTCCCTCAAGGTCATTACGGTCAGCTGACCAGAAATTGGTTATTGTCCTCTGCACCCGATTTAAGACTCATGGTGATCGGGCTTTTCAAGTCCTTGCACCCTCTCTCTGGAACCAGCTCATAATCAAACAGCCCCCATCACTGGCAGTCTAGAGTAGGTTGAAGACTAATTTTTATAGGATGGCCTTTTCCTAATGCTTTTGGTTTCTGGTTTTTAATTTTTTTGTTTTTAGCTTTCTGTTAACTGCTTAATTAAAATTTTCTTTTATCTAAATTTGATCTCATTTGCTTGTTATTGTTCTCACAAATGTCTATGTTATTATTTTATTTTTAATGTTTTTATGACTTGCTACTTTTCTTGTCCAGTGCCTTGGGCCCCCTTTGAGGGTGGTGGAAAGTGCTATATAAATAAAGCTTGATTGATTGATTGATTGATTGATTGATTGATTGATTGATTGGTTGGTTGGTTGATTGATTGATTGATTGATTGATTGAATTTTGCATAATATGTCCCCTTTACATCCACACTGAACCCAGAAGACCCTTCTGCAGACTAGTCAGAATTTTGCTAATCTGTGGCAGCCATTTTGAATCAGCTGTCCCATTCAGTTTTTAATTTTTTCTATTAAACAAAAAGGGTTGACTCCAAAAGTAAGTGGTACAATTTTAAGAAAGTATGGTCTCCAATGTTTAATGTTTGGAGTATGTGTTGTATACTACTCTTAGCTAATTTGACTCCAAAGTTTAGCTTAATATCTGTAAAATTGCTCAAACTGTAAATATTTTTGTGTTTTCCAATTTAATTTAGTCTTTGTGATGATTTTGTATGTGGTTGACAGAAAGTTTATCAGTTTTAGATGAAAACTGAATGAGGTTTAATAAAATCTAACCAGTTTATCTGATGTTCTGCTAATAATGACAAAAGAGACCCTCCTTATGCATTACTGGAATAAGAAGTCACTTTACCCAGTAGGAGTAACATGATTGTTGTTAAGCTGAAGCCATCTCATGACTTTCATGACCCACCTTTGAAAATCAATCTTCTGCCCACCATTTTGGCAAACTCCAAACTGTTCAAGGAGAGGACGTTGTAGAGGACAATGGCCCAGAAGTTGGCAGCGTTGAACACACCCCTGATCCTGCGAGACATGGCCTCACCCATGGCATTCTAGAGTCAAAATCATACAGAAGTAGGTACTTCAGTTCTTGTCTGGTCACACACCTAAATTGGTGCTTCAAGGAGAGTATTTTTAAATACATCGTGTTTCTCACCTCCATGATGGAAAATGGTGGAAGGGAGAAGAACTTGGCCACCCAAAGCTCAAAGTTTAGGCCAAAGCAGTTGAAAAAAGACCAGATATAAACCAGTTCACATGGGCCCAGCCACAAGGTAGTGATTGCAAAAGTGGAGACTGTTGCCAGAAGTTCTTTAAAAATCTTATCATGATCCCCACCAATGTAGTCATAAACATACCTGCAAAATGTCAATGCAGATTCAACATAACTATCTTTACTAAGCTTCATCAGATTCTGCCATTCAAATCTAAACGCTTACTTGCACAGCCAGTCGTTGATGCCTCTGTCAAAGTGCCTGCAAAAAAACAAATTTTAGTTGTTTTATTTATTTCAAACACTAAATGTTCACCTGATTCCAAGGCTTAGCACTGATTTAACCCCCTCAGGCTCAAAATAAGTTTTGATAAAAGGACAAACAACTAAGTCCTTCGGGTATACTTCTGAGTTAAAAAATGCTCATGAAATACGTATGTGGAGTAACCAGGTAGGTAGGTTTTAACTGTTGCAAATCTGCAATGCCTGCCTCCAGAGGGTTAACGATGTTGCTCAGAGTGAGTCACACATACGTCTCAGCGAAAACATAGAGCATGGTGATACACTTGGGAGGCTGGGGGGGGTCCAAGTGGTCCAGAGTGGCCACGGTGTTGATGACACCAAACATTACAGCTGCTTTTACCCAGTCATACACCAGGTTGGAATAAGCTAGTCCAGCTGCAAGAAAAAAAAAAATAGATGAGGGGCATGAACAGATGTTGACAATCCAGGTGAAACTTGAAAAATTAGAATATTCAAAAGTTCATTAATGTAAGTAATTCTACTTAAAAAGTGAAACTAATGAGTTAGACTCATTACATGCAAAGCCACATATTTCAAGCCTTTATCTGTTATAATTGTGATAATTACAGCTTATGAAAACCCCACATTCAGAATCTCAAACAGAATATTGTGAAAAGGAACAATATTGTAGACTCAAGAGTACCACCCTAATCAGCTAATGAATCCAAAACACCTGCAAAGGGTTGCTGGGCCTTTAGATTGTCTCTCAGTCTGAGCTGAGTTCCTGAAATAAATTGACTTCTGCACCATATTCTCATGTTTCAAGTTTCACCTTCTGAAAAGAAAATTTCTACTAAAAACACTTTTATATATTATTTTAAGTCTGATTCAGTTCAATTATATTCAAAAACACTTTAATGGTTCCAGGGGGAAAATAAGTTGTAACTCATTCTTCAAAAACAACAATAAAATAATATCAACAATAATGATCTCATATCATTTCATAATCTTTGAATAGGGGTAATAGATGCTGGTGGCTGTGGACAGGAAGGGTCTCCCATAGCGGTCTGTATTACAGCAGGTCTGGAGAAGCCTTGATTTGATGTGATGATCGTCATAATAAATAAATTAAACTGATGCCAGGACCATAACTTAATACAGTTTAACATTGTGGTTTCATCATTAGTCTCTCAAGCATTTTATTTAATTGATTTCACTGAAAAGGTTTCAAGAAGCAGTTAAATGTTGTCCCTGAGTCTCTCTTTATCACTGAAAAAAAAACTGTTTAATGTAGAACCTAAATTGTTTATGAGCAGGGAACTAAGAGTCACAATCTGATGCATAAACCATTATAAGAAGGAGATACAGGGCACTCCTCTTTGTCCACTCACCCAGACACCAGTCAGAAAGCTTGGCCACCAGCTTCATGTCACTGGGTATAGTTAGGATGTAAAGGTAGTGGAAAAAAACGTCCACCACCAGAATCACCCCCAGATGCAACAAGGCCTTGGTGGTGATGTTCCACATCTCCCTCTCCTTTCGGGTCAGCTGAGTGTTGTTTGCCTGTCAAATGCAATACCATCACTCATGTGAATTAACCAACTAAAACTCAAATATTAACTGAATTAGTCAATGCACAAAAACTTCCTGAGCAACCTCAGTTTGGAAAATAGAGATCACGTTCTTCAAGACTGACGAGCTAACGGCTAGTCTAAGTGCAAACTGTCATCTGAAATGAGGAAGTTGGAGTATTTTATTTCAACGTTATTGATGCAGCCCAACATATGTACAATTTTACAACACACAGTTATTTAGATATTACATTGTGGTTATTTGCAGCAGCTAACTGTAGGACTTCCTTTGCATTTAGGTAACTGATATCATTGTTAAGGTTTGTAAAAAAAACTTCTGAGTTGCTGAAAGATGGAGGAGCTTGGAGCTGTTCTTTGAAGGCAGCATTTGAACCTGCTGTTAGGGAAGTGTTTCTCTGGGCTGCAACTGTTAGCAACAAATACCAAAGCACATTTGCAATCAAGTTTTCAAAACGTATCAAACTAGTTTGAGGGCCTCACTCTCGTGTTGCTGGGCTTAAGAAAATGTACATCTTTTAAATTAGCTGCATATGTTTGCCATCTATTGCACGAACTGGAATTACATGTAAAGCACTGGAAATATTTATGAAATACACAAAAGCAGTAAGATAACATACAAGGGTGTTAAAGGTGTGATTCCCTGAAAAAACGTTTTTTTTTTAAATTTTAAATTCTAACTATAATCAGTTTTTATGCAGGCTGAACATGAAAATAGTCTCCTACACCTATCTCCTGCATTAGCTTCTGATTGAACAGGGGTAGGGAACCCTGGTCCTTGAGAGCCACTATCCAGCACGTTTTGGAGGTCGCCCTTCTTCGACAAAGTTGAATCAACTGCTCATCAGGCTCTGCAGAAGCCTTTTAATCACCTGCTGATTAAAATCAGGTATTTTAAGACAGGGCAACCTCTAAAATGTGCTGGATAGTGGCTCTCCAGGACCAGGGTTCCCTACCCGTGTGATAGAAAATAGACTTTGAAACTCTAGGATTTTAAAATTCTGACAGATCTACGTCACACTGTCACTCAGGCCCTGTCCACACGTAGCCGGGGATCTGCCAAAACGTAGATATTTTCCTACGTTTTGGCCTGTCATCCACACGAAAACAGAGTTTTTTCACACGAAAACGGATCTTTTTAAAAACTCCGGCCAAAGTGAAGATATGCGTTTTCTCCGTTTTGGGTGTCTGCGTGTGGACGGACAAAACCGGAGTTTTAAGGTCCGCAACGTCACTTTCCGCGACAAAAAAATGCTGACATCACGTGTGCGACCTGTGTTTACACTAGCCGACAGCATGGATGCCCTCAGAGCTGCGCTCGCTTTATCAATTGTCCAAGCGCTCTTTGCTTGTTTGTTTTTGCAAGCGGAATTACTGCTCCTTGTGGAAGACCACAGACGAAGGACGAGGTTAAGAATGAGGGAAGTACTGCCGCCTACAGGTCTGGCATGTCCTTAACAACGTATTTATCCAGGTACGTGTGGACAGAGGTTTTTTTAAAAACGAGGTGGTGTGGATGCAAGTTTTTGGAGGGGCGGATATTCGTTTTTTAAAAAACCCGGCTACGTGTGGACTAGGCCTTAGCATTCACCCCCATCTCCACTTACGGCAGGGAAGGCTGTTGTTTTTAACGCTCGGGAAACGGCAGACAACATCTAAAATAGCAGAAGCTAACCGTTAGCATTTGCAACTCCCAACACACAGCAGAACTCCTTCAGTCACGTTGCTGTTTGCCAATCAGAGGTGAGAGATCCAAATATCTGGAAATATGACTCCAATTCCTGCCATCTGAAACTACTTTCTCCTCCAGCTGGCTTGTTCTTCTTGAAACGATCGCATCTGTGACACCTCCCCCACCCCCCACCCCCATACGACCTACAGGACAGTCATCCCTATAGAGACCACTGCAAATGTACTGATTAAATGGGTGAACCACGCCTTTAACAAACCCATAGTGTGTGCTTGTGACTAACAGCTACCAAAACGCCGCTAACTTTTCAGCATCTTTTATTTTGAAATGTTTTTTTAACCTCACCTGAACGTGATAACGATCAAAAGTCATAATAGGTCCAAAGAAGAAGAACGGGAGGTAGAAGTTGTATCTCAGGAGGTCGGAGAATGAGTAGTTCCCTTCCTTCCTGTCACAGTTCTCTAAAGCAAAACTCATACAGCGCATGATGCTGAAGCCACAGCCTCCATAGAACAGAATGTCCTGCAGGTTGAACGAACCAGTCACCAAGTTCTCCTGCAGGATGAATCAGTCATTAGCTCTTGGTTATAATGTGATAAAACGTCATGCTGATGAAGAGTGTGAAGCCTCTCACCTGCCAGGAGTTATAAGGCTCCAGTTTGATGGAGGCCAGCGTGCTCAGACCAGCAGCAAAACACACCCATTTTTTTTTCACCAGAGCAATGCTGTAGAGAATGATGCAGTGAGACAGCACCAGAGCCATGAAGGTCCAGCCCATTGTGACCAGGACGGCCAAACCACCATACACGGCAAAGATCAGGGATCTGTGCTGTGGGTAAAAACAGGCCAGCGTCAGGGTGGCGACCTGAAAAGAATCTAATTACTCCCAATTTCATGTATCACTGAGAAGAATACTGTGAAGAAGAGAGAATAATAACATTAGAAATGCATTAGTCAGAATAAAGGAAGGAGTCCACTATCAGGTTCAAGTAAAACATGCGACAAATATGAGTTTCAGAGTTTAGAGGTTACCTTACATCCATCTACAGCAGCCTTCATTGTAAGCATGTAACAAGATAAAAATCCCATCAAAACACGGAGAAATGCTTTAAATGGATCTGCAAGGTAACAAAACAATAAGAACAGGTGCAACCACAAACTCTATCTGTCCATCATTTATCTATCTATCTATCTATCTATCTATCTATCTATCTATCTATCTATCTATCTATCTATCTATCTATCTATCTATCTATCTATCATTTATCTATCTATCATTTATCTATCTATCTATCTGTCTGTCTGTCTGTCTGTCTGTCTGTCTGTCTGTCTGTCTGTCTGTCCGTCCGTCCATCTATCTACCTGTCTGTCTGTCTGTCCGTCCGTCTGTCCGTCCGTCCGTCCGTCCGTCCGTCCGTCCGTCCGTCCATCTACCTGTCTGTCTGTCTGTCCGTCCGTCTGTCTGTCTGTCCGTCCGTCCATCTGCTACTGCCCCCATCACCTGGGAAACTACACACTGTCACTTTAAGGCATGACCCATAAATTCAAGCGGTCAGGTCTCTGATTAAGAAGAACCTGGTTAATCCCAATTTTACAAACTTTAAAACAACGTAATAAAGAAATCTTTCAGTTATGACTTCATCAGACATCCTTCTCGCAAGTGTAAAGCTGCAGTATGTAAGAATATAGCGAGAATTTTACAGCGAGAAAATGCCAAGAGTCTAATGTTTCGTCATTTAGGAAGGAAGGTTATTCTGAAACATATTTCATATCCAGCTGGCTGCGGGGATTGCCACTTTTTCTTCTTTCAAAACAAAGGAAGGAGGGACGTAACTACTGTTACTACCATCAGTGAGTGTGGGGTTGCCGTGTCTCCTGTGAGTTCATGCTGCAGCACTGACAATTTCTCAAAGGAGTTGTTTAAAGTGGTTGCAGTAACCAAACTTTACCACAGGATGTCATTTTTACTTCATTTCTACATAATGCACCTTTAAACCGTGTAACTTTAAACTTACTGTCTGTCATAGATCATGACGGAGCTGAGAGCGTGCTCCCCTTCCTTCAGCTCTTTTCCACCAACAACATAGATGGAGTTTTCTACTTCAGCCATCCCAAACAGACAGCGGGGGCTGGGCTGTGATGGCATTCCTAACCATTCTGAACTCACTGGGTCAAACTATGGATGGAAAGGTTGAAACATGAAACCATGGAAATGCTAGGAACGAAAAGAGGCTTTTTAAAAAAACGTTTGAAGATTTGCGTAGACAATGACTGGTTGTTGTAAAATGCGGTCTTCATGATTGGATGCCTACCTGTAGGAAATAAGACTTGAGTGGTTCATCTTTGTCGTCTTCACTGCAGAGAAGCCCTCCAACAACAAACACCTGGTTCTGCCTCGTCACCAGGCTGCAGTGGTTCTTGGGAATCTCTGTAGACTCCGACACCACAAAGCATTCGTTTCCCACTGGTTCATAGGCCACAGTCCCTGTGCTGTTGATCATGAGTATCAGGTCCATCTCAAACATTCCAAAGCGAGGGTTGTTGTTCAGTATCCCAGGCAGGTATCCCTCCTCCTCCTGGTCATCTTCACCTTCCTGTCCTCCCTTTGCCCCGTCACTGGTAAGGCTCTTTGGCTTGGGGAGAAGCCCTCTGTGAGCATCCTTGACAAGCTCCAGCTCCTTCTTGATCTCCTGGTTGAACCTCATGTACTCGTGACGTTCCACTTTCTCTTGGAAGTACTCCACAGGGATGAGCCTGAATCGGACACAATGTAACAGCTCAGGCAGATCCTTCAACCGCGTCGTCTCATCATGCCTGACCCAGTCCATCAGCGACTCAAACACCAGCTCTTCTCGTTCAACATTTAAAGTATCTGATGTGATGATGATGGCCAATTCACTGGGGTCTAGCTGCAAGAACTCCTGGTCCCGGACAACAACCTGGTATCGCTCGCATATGAACTCTCTGGCAGCCAGAGTGAGCCTTGGGCAATCGAGAAGAAGGCCTAGTCTGTAAATGGCAAGGCAGTTGCTCAGCACCATCTTCTCTTGGAGGTAGGACACACACACAGAGAAGATGGAAGGGATCTGGTACATGTTGGCAACCATGAAGATATCCTGGACATTCTGCTCTGTCAGGTTAATGTCAGATGTGTAAAGGTAGCGCAGGATCATCCCCATAACACCAGGATCCACATCTTTTAGGATTATCTCCCTCTTCTTACTCTCCTCCAAGTCAGACAGGAACATGGCCTTGAAGAAAGGGCTACTGGCAGCCAAAACCAGACGATGGCAGGGGAACTCTTTGTCCTGGATTTTCAGAACACAATCCACAAATCTGTCATTCTCCAACAGATCACACAATCCATCCTGAAGCAAGGTCTGCTGGTACATCCGAGGCTGCTGAATGGGATCTATCGTCAAAGCAGCCATTTTGTTCAGCTTCCCTGTCCTGGCTGAGTTTTCGCCTTGCTTCCTACAGCGGAGCGGGATCGTCAGGACCTCTGGGCTGTTCAGATGGCCACAAATAGTCTCAATGGGTTGGAAGGCTGGTGGCTGCAGCTGTCTTGGACCGTCAGTCAGTGTGTAAGTCAGAGGTATTTATAGACCTTATCCACAGAAAGCTCTCTCTCTCTCTCTCTCTCTCTCACACACACACACACACACACACACACACACACACACACACACACACACACACACACACACACACACACAGAGAGACCAAGACAAACAGCTGAATGATGCTGCTGTTTAATTCTGGAAGAACAACTCACCAGACAGCTGGGCTGATCCCTGCTGTGGCGTCACGAGCTTTGTCTAAGCTGTCATTTATCCCAAACGTCGAGATGAGCAAAAGTAAAAACATCTGAAGCACGGAAACTTACTCAAGTTTGTAAAAAAGCATTTCTGGAAGACTACTCTATTAATATTCAATATTCAATAGTTAAAATAAAAAGATCATTTGACTCAGGGCAACGGATGTTGCTGAAATGTGAAAAAAATGAAGGAATGTTCATGCTATTAGTTTTTTTTTGTCTTCTACATTTTGACTGTTATTTGATTTTTCTTTTTACTCAAGGGTCTATAATCGGTGGCTCTGGGGCCACATGGGGTTCCTTGGTCCCTCTTCATAAACACAACATAGATGACATTTGTAGCTGTTTTTCTGTCCAGTTATAAAATATATTAGATAAAAATCTCTGATGAAATTATACCAAAAACACAAAGAGCAATGAACAATTTAAACATATCTAAACAAGATGAATGTTTGATTACTCCTATTTTTATTTCATTTTCAGTGGTCTCTATGAGTGACTGCTTTGTTAAATGTTTTCAGGGAGGGAGGGGGGAGGAGAATATATATATATATATATATATATATATATATATAGATAGATAGATAGATAGATAGATAGATAGATAGATAGATAGATAGATAGATAGATAGATATAATATGATCAAATCAATAAATTAAAATAAAATAAATGTAAATGTAAAATCTAAACAGGCAGGCTAAAAACATCATTAGTATTCCCTGTTTTCAATAATACGGTACGCTTGTTGTGTTACACCCCTGAAACAGGGGAGAAAGAATCACGAAAGTGATTTGTGAGCTGCCTCTCTCATGCAGTCGTTTAATGCAATGAGGAGCGAGCGCACCGTTTTCCCCCTAGTAGAAGGCCAATGCTCTTTGTTCACTCTGTCGGAAAGGTTGATCAGATCTGTGCTCGTTACAGTGGTCCTTAAGCGCGTGAGTTAACCCGCAAAATCCACTAAGTTGATTTTACAGAATTAGCGTAAGCAGCTACTTTTGGGTCACACACGAAAACACACCAGACTCCGTTTCTCAACGTTTGTTTGCAGCATTTAAGCAGATTTGCGTCTCCTCCTGTGCAGGAGCGCAGATTATGCCACTGATGCGCTCCATCTGTGGCACAGCGCGCGCCCCTCTCCCCGCACGTGCTTGTCGCACCTCCGCAAAAAACCCTCATTACACACCTTATGCACTTCTTTCAGATATGCATGCACGTTTTGACTTTTCTCTCGTGTTTAAACTTTCTCAAAGTTCAAACCTTCAGAGCAGAACACAAAGCGCTGTAAAAAAAGTGTGAACAACGGAACTAAAAATGGTGAACCGTTACTGCACTGATGTTTGCTGATGTTGGTTTGAAACAGTTTTTCTGTGGTGGCACGTGCACATTTAATTTCCGTTACATGAGATGTTCCTGGAGGGTGGTTCTGTTTCTGCGGATGAACACTCAGGTGTCAGATCTGCTGTCTGCAGCTGCAGAGCATCAGCCCCATGTTCGGTGGATTCTGGAAGTTTTGACTTGTCATGTGAGTTTTCCAGTGTTGGTGGTAATAAGCTGCTGTTATGTTGAAGAATGAACCAAGAAAAGTGAAGGCTGACGACTATTACACATAAATCTATATAAACATGTTAAACACGGTCAGCACGTGTTCCCACGGCACTGACCATGTTTGAGGTTATAGAGAAGTAACTGTTCAGTCAATAAATGTCTGACAAACGGACTTGTTCACAACGGTCGTGACCCGGCGGGAACAATCCGAATAATTAAAATAACAAAATAATTTACCTTTTCAGAAGGTACCTGCTTTATCAGGCTTGTGTTAAATAAACAAATGCACATTGAAAACACTTCAATTCTATTTTATTAACCTAAACAACCCGCTTTTAATATTTTACACCCACTTTATGCTCACAAGGAAGTTCTAAGATCCATAAAAATGCAAAATTAATTTCGTTTATTCTAATAACTACGGTTGCCTAAGGTAAAAAAAATCCATGAAACAACCACGTGACTCCTTAAAGCTTGTAAAGGAAATTGAGTCACGTGATCTCACAAACGCTGAAGACGCACGTGACACAGCTTCTTTAGCTTGCTGGCTGCGTCTGCGCTCCTCTCCATCCTTTGATCCTCTCCACCCCTCTGATCATGTCTGCGTGCTCCTTTCCACCCTTTGATTACGTCTGCGTGCTCCTTTCCACCCTTTGATCACGTCTGCGCATGCTCCTCTCCACCCTTTTATCACGT